TTATAACTTAATATATTAAGTGTATTCGACGCCGAAGACGACGGCGGTGACGACGATGACGAAATCGCATGACTTTGAAACAAACTTAGTTAACTAGTGTTTCGACCGAGCCCAATCACGTAATACATTACTTTCTTAATGTTATTATCATCATCGGATCCCAGGGTCCCCCGGTGTATTTCGTTTCCTTATAATTTATCCTGCCCGAATAATATTATTGGTTATATATTGTCAATTACGTGGCCGCCGCCGCCGGACGCCAAACAAAATAACGCTCTGGAATAATAACAATAATAATAATAATAACCAAAAAATATTAATCGTATACGTAGGACTTCACGTCGGTGGACCTTGTGCTGATTTTCACGACGCTCTTGTCGTTTTTTAAATTAAATTTCGTCGTCCTATGGTTATTAACATACTACACTTTCGATGTATGTACATTTTAAACGATTTCAACGGTAAACAATATCTGATCGAACTAAGGGGGGGGGGGGTAAAAAACGAAAAACACTATGCATGTTTTACACCGCATAATGTATGTGCTTATATTTGTATACATGCTTACGTAATTTTTGATCTAATAATGTCACAAAGGTGGTCCTTGAGCACACACACACACACGCACACACACATACGATGATAGTACATGATTTATGATTTATCTCGTTTAAAAAAATTAATTTCGGTGTTTCATACACACATCGTTTTGGGAAAATAATGTACGAAACGGCTACGTGGCATTTTCAACGAGCATACGCGATTATATAGATGTATCGTTGATTATTAGTTAATTATATACCTATATGAAATCATGGTACCATAACTACCCGTATAAAAACCGTGTGAAACCGTCTGAACATTGTACTTAACGAATTCACGATCCTATATATTATGGTTTATAAACCATATGATCTAGTACCAAGTATAATTTGGAATTTTACCGTCATTCGATAATTTCAATCGTAATACATACGCGGTTATATCCTGAATTTAAAAACTTGAACTATTCGTACGTTTAAAGCTTGATACACGACGACGTTTTATTGATATTCGTATAAAATTAATTATGAATTAAGTACACTCGATTGTATTTAATGATTTACATCATTAGCATTGATATCGTTTAGTATGCAGTACACATTCATTAGTATTTCTTGTGAATATTTAAATAACTATGAAAAGTTCAATTAATATGTAATCAGATATATGTTCACTGTAGGTGGAAGTTGAATGATATTACGTTTGCAGTATCGTAAAAAAGTTTATTTTAAGGGCGTGTTGAGTTTAGCTAGGCCAATAGTTTAATCGTTTTTCTTGCCCCACGATTTGTTCACATCCTAGTTGTTATTTTAACGATGATATGTTTATTTATATATTTTTATTAATGTTTAAGCTTCAACACCATTTTATTATTAAAATTTTAGGCCAATCTTGAAAGAAATATATATTTATTCAAAGTAAAATGATAAATATTTTTAGCTAATTGAATTAAGTCGGAAGAATAACTTAAAATCGGTAAACATAAAAATAATTTTTCTATAAAAATTAAAAACAAATAGGTTTAAACGTAATGTGGATTAAATATGTATTCGTAGGCCAAGTTAGTTCTGGGCTATATACTGGTAAAATTAAAAACGAACTCGCATCAACTCATTTAAATCAGAAAATTAGTGTTCTAATTCGTGAAGTGTAAAGAGAAATATAGGATTGTACAGCTATAAAATATATGTGACTGTTAAAAAGACGTTGACCTCTGTAGCTTCTGCTGCGCGCACGTATACGCACGCATGTGTGTGTACATACATTATACATTGGTTAACCTAGATTCTTAATTAGTTTTTTAGTAAATCCTGTAAATCCTGTTTGTAATTAAGACTAGGACATATTTTTTTAAACGCTACTCCGTCGCGATCATACTTCCCCGTCGGATTCATAAATATCGTCGATTGTTATGTGAGCGTGTTTAGTCATACACGAGTTTCACGCTTGTACGCAAGTGTACATATATGTTTCGGAGGTGACTGATGATTGCAGTTTAAAAACGGATTTGTTCGATCGCGGTTAGTTTGTGTTCCCGCAGAATTAATACCAAATGTACACTCCGATCGTACTTATACATGAATAATTTAACTATAAATACTGCGGCCCATAAACAAGTCATGTGTCACGAAATATTTTTCACGCGTGTTTATATTATCGAGTTAAAAAAAAGAAAAAAAGAGCAAATACACCGAAATGTACAGCACGTAGGGCCGTCCCGAAAAGGATCTTGGGGGGGGGTGTTTTAACCCCCCCCCCCTACACATACACACAACGAAAACACCAGTCAGCGGTCGGACTTGTTTCATTATAGCTTAGATGGACCTATTTTTATTTACGGAAAACCAATATTACATATTTCGTAATATAGTGTATACACGAATAAAATTTATAGAACTACTTATTATACAATATAAAATATTATTATTTTATATAAATATATAATTAAATTGATTATTTTAAGAAGGTGCGACACTGACACATATATACATGTTAAAAAGTAAAAATACGATTACATATAGTTAATTATACTACATACTATATTCCCACTATACATTTTATTGGCTATTAACAATAACGCGTTGCTATGACGTTATAAAATTAAATTCCTAGTTCTTACGAATTATTTGTAACATCAATAACGGAATTGTAAGTGAACACGTACAATATTCTTCAAAAACATTCATTATTATTTTAAAGATTTAAGTTTAAATGATTTAAACTTGTCAGTGAACTATTTTTGCAATACCGCTGATCAGTGGTCAATTTGTCAACTTTTGAAATAGCGGTTTTTTCAGTTATTGGAGATAGTTGAAGCAGATGTCCATCAAGCAGATAGTTCTACCAGGTAAGAACTTTCAACCCTTTATCAAACTTTTCAAGCAATTAAGAAATATTAAAAAAAAAAATATTTTTAAGAAAACTATGATTTCAAGTTCAAATGAAGATAAAAATTATTTTGTAATTTTTTAAAAAAATATTCAAAGTTTAAGTTTATGTTCAAGTTTTATAAATCCCCTTCTAAAATGAGTTATTGACATTTGCATAGATACAAATTTATTTATTTCATTTTTATTTTTTAACATAATTTCAATGTGTTAGCTCTTTGATCGATACGTTGAAAACATTGAAAAAAAAAATTATATCATTCGCACTATACATTTTATTAGCTATTAACAATACATTAAAATTTCAAATCTAAGAAGTTTTAACTAACAGTTAACAATTAACTGTTAACTATTTTTGCAATATCGCTGATTAGTAGTCGATTTGTCAACTTTTAAAACAGCAGGTTTGCCAGTTACTGGAGATAGACTATGCAGACGCCTATCGAGCAGATAGTTTCACCAGGTAAAAACGTTTAACTATTTTCTTACCCTTTTTAAGCCTACATTATGAAATATTAAAAAAAAAATATTTTTAAGAATGAAAAAATATATAAAAGAAAAAAAATTGAAAAAATATATTTGTTTTGTTTGTTGTTTTTTTTTTATCTTTATATCGCACGCATAAGCTTATTGTAGCAATAAATTGTGCAGATTGCATATTATTTTAATACAATATAAAAAATATAAATAAATAATATAAATAAATATAAATAATATATAAATAATATAATATATAATAATATATAAATAATATAATATATAATAATATATAAATTATGGAAAAATTACTTAAGTTTTATAAACCTTATTCTTAAATGAATTATTGGAAATTGCCAGGCACAATTTTTTTGAATCACCTATTTCATTCTAGTATACTATACTTATAGGAATGAGGATAACTGTATTTCAAGGGTGTCTTATATACTTTTGGGCTTTATCTTAAAAAAATGTGTAAGTATATTTAAAAAATTATAAATTATAAATAGCTAAGTAAACATAAATCAATTTTTTTAATTAATATTGTGTTAATTAGTCCCAATTAATATGCATTCCTCAAATCTAGTATATCTATTATATTACTATTTTTATGATTATATATTGTGTTATATTTATCAGATAGCTATAATTATTTAGATTTGTGTTTTTGTAGACAATTTCAGCTTTTATATTATTATATTAAGTTTTTGCACGAAAATTTAGTCTTAGTTCTTATACGAAAAATAATTAATTTTTTATTAAAAATTTTAGAATAAATTACATTTAATTTAAACAATATCAGTTAAAATACGAACACCTTACTCTTAGACTTAAATTTTAGGGGTCCCATTTAAAATATTTCGAGGAATGCCCTGGCACAATCGGCACCCCTCGTGGACACACCTAAGATTATACTCTTTATTATACTATTTTTATCATTAATATATCAAGTTAAACCTCATAATTAGCATACTACAAATATTTAAAGTGAGTGAGATGTGTACGTAATATTTTCCTCGTTGAAGTTTTGAAAGTAGATTTCGTCGAACTTTGTCATGTTTTCAATACAAAAACATAACAATTCAAGTAGCAAAAGTTTCGTGTTAAAAATACTTGTTGAGGAGAAAGTTCCATAATTTTACGTGAGCGGTATATTTCATGCATGTATAGTAAATACACTTCATTAACTCTACAAGCTCTGGACACAAAAAAGAAAGCAAACTAAATAATAATGGGTAAAAAACATGGACTGGTCAAATAACACCACCTGTGGGTGCTCAGAGTACGGTTGGAATTTTTTCGCCCTAAAAACCGACAGTATGCCCGCCACCCTGATATACCGAAGAGGTAATGCTTCGGGTGGCAGATTGGCATAATTTATTTTTTCAATATCAAAATTTTTTCTGAGGCAAATACGAGACATTCCCTCGTTCTCAATAGCTCACAATATATTTTACAGATTTGTTTTGGATGGCCGCAAGACAGTCTCTTACGGTTACCCCTTATATAGGTGCAGAAAAAAAATAAAAATATTTTCTTACACTTATTGACGTTTTGACTAATCCTCCCCCCCCCATGAGGACCCACCTTGTCGCGGTGGGGGGGCTTGCGTCCCTCAACAGTTCCGAGAGCTATGCCAACGGTAGTTTACTACCAACAGGGTCTCCCATGTTGGACAGGTCGACGAACTGAGGGCTGACAAAGCGGTCCTCGACAAAGGGTAGGACGGGCTCTTCAGCCTTGGGTGGCAACCGTCCTAGAGGAAGGAAAACCTTGATCAAAAACCCCCTGGCAGTAGGGTTAAAATGCAGTGAAGGACATCACTTAAAAAACCAAAACATGCACTGTCAAAAGTCAACTCTTGGTACCACCTCAGGGGCGTCGGAACCCCAGAGGTCGGCAGGAGTGGGTGGTTCCGGTGTCAAAACCGGAACCAATGTAGCGGGCCCACTCCGGTCGTCATCCAGCGACCGCGAGGGTGCGGGGGTGGTCGTCCAGGCCCCCGCGACTCTATCCAATACTGGAACGAGGAAAAGACGACTAGATAGTATGGAACAGTCCTCCAACTCGGGTTGGTCGGGATATGATAAATCTTTCAAAAGGAGACCATACTACAACACTTGTGGAAAACGATCGCTATACGACCAAGTTGATCAACTGTTTTTAAAGAAGTTTACAATGGATAAGTCCAACAAGTGGGAACTTCCAAAAACAAACACTATGCTAAGTCAAAGGAAATGGGAGGTAAATAAATATATATTATTGTATAAAACTATATGTATAAATAAATTTCAATCAAATTTATAGATGCAATATAATTTATTTAAACTTATCATGCCACATTTTTATGACCAATCTTTAAAAATAAAGATATTCCCTCTATAGCATTGTATAACATATTTTATTATATTCAAATTTATTTCGGTATGAGTCTACGTTTGCAAATAGTACAGTGTTTATGACTTTAAATATATCCCTGTGTAGGTTATATTATTACCTATTAATTATCCTTGTGAATAAACTTTTTACCCACTTGTATGATTATATTTTGAAACATTAACAATTTTGCAATTTAGTGACATAAAATTTTGTGTTTAATAAATGAAATGATAAGCTTTGAAAAAATTAAAAGAAGGATAACGCATTTTTTTATAGAAATGAGCTGTCCTTAACTTTTCCTCACCATTCTTTTCTTACCTGAATATTTGGAGGAATTATAGAAGTCCTAGTCATGTACTTGTTAAATCGAATTATGATTAAGTATTTTTTTTTTTTTTTTTAGTTATCAGATTTTATTACTTTAAAAAAATCATTAAATATCGTCAAAGACAAACTTGATGATTTCAACTTGATGGAATGGCATAAAAATACCAAACAAACTAATCCAGCCGATAAAGTTTTCTATAAGGTTAGAGGAGCTGGGCGTCCTGAGTTATTGACTGCAGCTTGGTTGAAGTTTTATGAACTATTAAATGATAATGATGTTATACCTCAAAAGAGTATTGATGATGGTAAACTCAGTAGTGTTCATCTTTGTGAAGCTCCAGGAGCGTTTATTGCTGCTCTAAACCATTTTATTTGTAACAGACATATTAATGTTGAAGTAAGTGTTCTTTTATAATTTTTTTCGTTTACTAACTTATTATTTATTTATTTTTTTTTTCTTAGTGGGATTGGATCGGTGTTTCTTTGAATCCGTATCATGAGGGGAATGGTAGTACTGATATGATTAGCGATGATAGATTTATGTTTCATACAATGAGCCATTGGTTTTTCGGTAAGGATCAAACAGGAGATATTTTCCAAAAAGACTTCTATAAGGATCTTTGTACCTATGTTAAAAAACGTTTTAGAAAAAAAGCAAGCATGGTAAGAATAACATTACGTTAATTTTAATTATATTTAAATAAGTTTTAATAGTTATACTTAAGTTTGATTTTTATATTTTTTCAGGTAACAGCTGACGGTAGTATAGATTGTCAAAATAACCCGAATGAACAAGAAGATCTAGTCACGCGTTTGCAGTTAGTCGAGACAATGGTCGCCCTAATGATACTCGAAAAAGGTAATACTAACCTTTTTTTATTAGTTTTAATTTTACAGTTTTTAATAATAATATTTTTACTGACATTAATTTTATTTCAGGTGGTACATTTATTCTGAAAATGTTTACCATTTTTGAATGTAATACATTATGTCGAATGTATTTGTTGTGTTGTGCTTTTGACTCGGTACAGATTAAAAAACCGTTAACAAGTAAACAAGGAAATTCTGAGATATATGTTGTTTGTCGAGGTTTTAAGGGATTGCAATGCGTAGAACCTTTGATACATACATTTTTCTCCACTTCTAATCGCAGTAAGTTTTGTCAAATTTTAAGTTATCAAATTATTATATAATTGTAATCTATAACAATTATGTTTTATAATTTTAGCGCTGTCTGATAACTGTTTGTTTCCATTGAGCGAGTTGCCAAAAGATTTCTTGTCATCTGTATATAAATGTTCCAAATATTTTAGTGAATTGCAAATGCAAGTTATAGAGAATAACATAAAATGGTTTTACCAGAAAACTGAAAATGATATTAAATCATTAACAGAGTTACAGTATTGTGTCGCTAACACATATGTCAATAGATTTCGAATAAAACCAATTAGCCCTTCTCAGGAAATTGTTGGACTAAATAAACTTAGGGTATGATTTATAGTATTTAATTTTTTTTTTTTTAGTTAACTTTCATTGATATATTGCCTATAGTGAATTGTTTTTTGGGAGTTAAATCTCAAAATTTCAAATAAATATTTTATTTTAATTTAACGTTGAAACATTTAAAAATTAAATTATGATTAACACAAAATTATTTATTATTGAATAGGCCATTCAGTTCGAACTACCGAAAGTTTCGACAACGAAAACAGATATGAATTGTTCATTTACCGAAAAAATGCGTCGAGTAGAATACCGAGAATTAGATGAAGCTAAATTACTTCAAGATCAAGTGAACAATTATAAGCAAACTCCATGGAATTATGATAAAGAAGTATCGTGGTATACCGCAAAGGTTAGTAGAATTATAAAAATTATATATATATTTAAATATAAAATAATTATATAATTTATAAATTTATTTAAAACTAAACGATAATTTGATATTTTGTTTTTTTTTTATAGGATGCCAAAATTGACTTGTTGAGTGTGAATATGCAAATGGGTAAACCTGTTTCTATAATTCGTAACTCAAAGTTTTGTGTCAATGAACTTATTGATTACAACAATCGAGCAAGATCATTGTTTACGGTTCCAACAGATGACGCTATTAAGCGTAGAGAGTAAGTTTTTAATTTTTCAACCTATGTAAATAAAATTATACTTCACTTTGATAATAAGTATAAATATAATATTAATATATTATTTTTAATATTAATATTTATTTTTTTCTCTCTTATGTGTTACAGATATTTTCGGATTAAAATTCCAAAACAAGCGATCCATGGTCGATTGATTGTTTGTGATGTAACATCGATTTATGCCAATGATTGTTTAAACAATTGTAGAAAACAGCTTGACTCTCTGACTTTAATTTTAGAATCATTGATGAAACTTAAAGCTTCTGACAGTTTTTTGTTAATCGGATATCCATTACTTTCTCAAGTTAATGTTGGTGTTTTCTATGTGCTTGTTAATATGTTCCTTAAGGTATTTATAATTTATGTACTAGAATTTTTAAATTTTCTTTTCCCCTTTTCCCAATGTAATTTCTATCTAATTTTTATTTTCAATTTCTTTCAGACCGGAGTGATCAAACCTGTTGAAATGGGTCATGCTTTTGTGTTTTGTGCAAAACTTAATGGTAAAAGAATAGATAATTTAATTTCCGTTTTAACAAATGTAAAAGAACATATCAAGGATCTTAATATTACAGAAATTTTTGAAAATCAAGGCCAATCCTTACTTTCCTTTTTTCCGATCGATAAACTTATGTGTAAGTTTTTATTTCTTATTTTAGATAAAACTAATATTTGCCCATGTTTTATTATTTTCAAGCTATAACTTAAATGTGATTTTATGTTTCAGATGAATCCATTTATAAAGATATTGTTACCGTTAATTGTTTGATTATCATCAATGACGTGAAAAAAACTATTTCTTCTTATTTGCAACAAAATTGACAATGAATATTGTTTTTTTGATTATTTTATTAATTTTGTAATTTTTATTAACATTTTTTTTTCTTTTTTTTTTTTTGATGTTAATATTCTATTAATTTTATTAATTATTATTGTTCCATTTGTGTAAATTTCAGCTTTTTCAAATTTATACTTTTTATTGTATTTCATTCTTTTGAAAAAAGATTTATATTGTTAAAGATTGAAATTATTACTTTGTATAATTAATTACTTTTTTATGTTAAATGATTATAATGTGATGTACAACAATAACTTTTTTTATAAATCTGTTACTATTTATTTTGTTAAATATAAAATATTCATACCATATAATAATATATGTATTTTACTGTACTGTACACTAAAGATATATTAGAGAAGACATTTACATCGACAACTAAAGTTGTTAGATAAACCGCCCGTTGACGAAACTTCTTAGGGGGTTTCATTATTCGTTTGTAGGTGTTAAGTGGAGAAAATAACGCGACACCAATTTCTTTTTAGCCTCTAAGGGAAGGCACAATAGCGAATACTGTGCACAAATAATTTGTAGCAATTTATAGAACACAGGGCCGTCCTGAAGGGGGGTCTTTGGGGGATTTATCGTCCCCTCTCCCAACGAAAACACCAGTGGGTGGTCGGACTTGTTTCATTATAACCTTAAAGGACCTAATTTTACTTACGGAAAAAAAATATTACATATTTCGTAATACAGTGTATACATGAATAAAATGTTTAGAACTACTTATTTTACAATATAAAATATTATTATATAAGAGTATATATATAATTAAATTGTCATTTTTAAGAACGTACGACACTGACACATATATACATGTTAAAAATAAAAATACATCTACATATAATTAATTATATTACATACATTGAGTAAAAAAATTGTAGTCGGCATTTTTCATATTATTCTACCCCCTCCCCTCCTTGATTTTCATCTTTGGGACTGCCCTGACCGCACGAGTGAAGTGAGAATTTCTATAGTTAAAATAAAAACCTCGTTCTCGACTATGTAGACTCCGTGTGCAATCAAAGTTTGTTTTGTTTGAAACGCTTTCGTCACTGCTCATTTATAGTCTCGAGGATAATGTTGGAAAAAAAAAACGGGACACAAAAGGTGTCAGCTTTATAGACTTATAAACAATATACTAAAGTCATAAGAAACAACTTTTAAGTTGTAATCATCAATAGTAATGTAATATTATTAGTTAAGTTTTTTCTCTTCATAGTTGTTTAATTAAATTTGCGAGTGGCGATTTCAAGTGGCTTTGATTACCACGTTTTTTTATTTTTAATTTAGCCAATTAAACTAAACTCGTAAAATGATTTTTACGCTTCTAAGGTTTTTATGTGTGTACACATTTTAAGTTACTAAAAGTGTTTAAATTGTTAATTATCGTGATTTTATTTAGCGCTTAGTCTAAGCATATATTTAAATTGTTTCTAAATAATTATTGAATAATGTCTATTGTGAACCTATATTTTTCTAGGCAAATCGGCACAAAAAAAAGGAATCTTCATCATTTCGGTTATAAATGCATTTTTTTTTATTGAATAATTAATAACAAAACTAAGTACTATTATGGTTTTAGGGAATAAAAAAAATTAATTAATCAATTAAACTCATTAATAATTAACTCCTTTTTATTATAAATAATTTTTTTCTCTTTTTTGTATATACGAAAAAGCGTCTACGTAAAGATGACGGTTAACGATTTCTGTATTACTGAAATAATGAACAATGAAAAATAATTTTTGTAATTTTGTGTTATTGCTGATATTGTGATGTTTGTATATTATAATACATTAGGATAATACGCCCGTATCAATACATTGTTCACTGCATTTTTATATTTTATTATTTTAATTTTACATTTGTTTATAGCAGCGTTTCCCAAAGTGGGTGATATCGCCTCCATGGAGACGCTAGATTAATACAAGGGGGCAATGAAAGTTACAAGTTTAATACGGGGGCCTTTTATTACCCAAAAGGGGAAGGTGACAGTTTCAATTGTTTTCAACAACGTTACGTAGTTACTACATTGTAGTTCATATTATTGTACGTTTTTGAGTTCGAGGAAGGATACCAAGCGTTCTGGCTACAAAAGCAGACCTATACTTTATCCTAGATTGTGGACTGTTGTACAAACATTTTTTATAGCATTCCCATCATCCTTCTTGGTTGTAAGTGGGTTTAGAGCAGTAACCAATCTATTCACAAAAAAAAAAAAAAAAAGGCAACGGTCACAAATAACCAATCCTGGGGACTTAAGAATGCTTCTTACGAAAATCAAACCTAACTGATTTCTAGCAAAACACCGACCACATCCATCTCATTAGAGTAACTTTTTTAATTTATAGTTATACAATATTGTGATAAAAAGAATACTTATTAATAAACAACAAATTACATTTTTCATTGCATTCTTTTGTTACAACACAGTTTATAAGGAAGCGTCTGTCGGATTTTTTTTAAGTGGGTGGTAAAGATAAAAAGTTTGGAAATCACTGGTTTATAGTGTAGTTATCTATCCCGGTAAGCCAGCCCCCATGCCATTCACCGTCATCACTCGTCACCGTCAACCACGCAGTAATATAGTAGATGCACGTCACATACACGCATGCTAGTTAAATTAAAAAAAAAACAATTATTCATCAGTAAATTAAAATTTACAATTGTTATTTTTTACTACTTGCTGAAAACAGGACATTTTAGTCGTCCGAAGATTACCCAAGGGACAACCGGACGAACAGAAGAAAAATGCAACCGTCCCATTCAAAACGGAACGTATGGTCATCTTAGTTATGACTAATATGTTACATTCGAAGAATCTTCTACAATATTGTCTAAGAAGATCAAATATTATTTTTAACACAAAAAAAAATGTTAATACTTTACATTCATGCTGTGCTTTTTGTTCATTTAATAATCTAATTTAGTACATTTTAATACAATTAAACAATTACCGGAAAAGCATTAAGGGCATGTCAATTTGTATTACTATTACTGTGCCTATTCAATGAAACGTTTCGTGAAGTAATTGAGAAAATATACAGTCATTATAATTGTTGTATGCGGATGAGTATGTTACATACGTATTTTTTCTTTTAAATATAAATTAAATAGTCATTGGTGAAATAATGTATTTTATTAAAGGATAATATAATTTTTGAAATACCCATCGGGTAAGCGCTATTCAATTGTTTATATTAAATTTAATTATATGAAAAATTATTTTTTTTCAAAATAACAATTATTTTCATCTAAATGTATTTAATTATTGTAGTTTACAACAAAAAAATGAAACTTATAACATTTCAGTTGTTTATAAATCTGAGTGTGTTGGAAAAAAATTAGAGATTGAAATTCAATTGCATACTAAGTTAAATTATCACTAGTTGGAACTGTTTCAAACTTTTGATTCAAAAATTGTAAATACTTCAACTTGATGAAATTATATTCCTCTTAGAGTCGTTTTTTTTTGTGGAATTGAAGATAGATGCACAATTTTGAAGATGTTCAAAGGTTTATAGGGTTCGAGTATCCATAATATTTTTAGTGTTTTTTTGTTTATATTAGCGGAACATTTTCTCTACGCTGAAATTATTGGCAAGGACACGTATGATTCGTAGATTGAAAACTTTTGGATAGTATCTAAAACAAATAACATACAGTTTATGAAAATTTGTCATCGAAAAAATTAATAAATTTAGTAGTATTGGACAAACAAATTACATCGGAGTTTACACAAATGTCGTGAGTTTAAAATGCATACGTATTCATATGTCACATATATTATGCAAAATGTATCACGCGTACATGCAATTTTATGAATGTGGATATCGCTTGGTCAGAACGTAGGGGTATGAAATGTTTTCAACAAAAACTCTATACTATATAAGAATTATATTTCGACTTTGTACAAGTGTTGAAAAATGTATCGGAAAGTGGTTACCACGGGGTAGAAATACACGACGTGGAACAGGTGAGCGTTTTTCTCGTCTGAATGTCTAAACATTAAATACTGGGAACTTGGAGATCTCTGACGGTTAGGTTACTTTATCCGACCGAAATCAATCCGGTACTAAACAATCACTGATTGTGTTCCAAAAATTGCCAATCAACCGTACTGGTGTAAAATAAGGTTTTTGATTACGGGGAGGGGAGAGAGAAACTTCATAATATTCCGCCACTTAATACAGTAACAGATACAAATCCAGTTTAAATAGTCCAAAGTGTTTTTTACGATTTTTTCAAACATACTTTGGTTGGTTCTCTATTTCAACTGTGCGAAACAGCCGCAATACGATTCCGCAAATATCATATATATACATACCAGTGGCATAATTAGGAATTTGTCTTTGGGAAGAGATAAACATTTTTTTTTACACGGAAAGTACTTAAATTTTCAAGTACAGTGGTGCGTGGTACTTGGGAGTTACTATTTCATCAAAAATCCTTAAACGAATGTATAGGTAAGTACACAAAATGTATTTATAAATGTTGTTTTAAAATTTTACACAATTTAGTACCTTTACTATATCATAATTCTTCAAAATGTAAATATTGAATATATATTAAAATAAAATTTTACTTTTAAATTAAACAATAGTTATTAAAATATTAACTTAATTTTGTTTGTAATGTAATATAATGCACATGACTTTTTTTTTGTGTTGTTTAAAAAAGGAATAATAATTTTCTTGGCTGTTTAGCCAATTCGTCAATCACATCATAAGGATTAAGTAGAATTTAATTTATTGTCTTTTTCAATTTCATACTCAGTATCTTTAGATAAATGGTGATCATTCTTAATTTCCAGTAAAATTTACAATTATTAGGTACATATAGTCTATTATTTTTAATTTACAATTATTGGGTAACTATAGCCTATACCCATTAGAATATTTAAATAGTTAGGTAATTAATTAATAAATGTTTTAAATATTGAATAAATCTAATTGTATCATTCTTTTGGATTTGGAAGATT